AAATGCTAGGCATGGCGACTCACGTTTGTGATCCCAGAGCTGGGGAGGCTCATTAGAGTGAAATACGGAGGTAAAATGGGAAGAATTCTCCAGGCAAAGAAAGACGGGCAAGAAAGGGATCGCTTGATACACTATTATGTGTAAGTCATGGAAGTGTGAAAAGACAGCTCGTGGGGTGGGGATTTAGCTCAGTGGTAGAGCACTTGCCTAGCAAGCACAAGGCGCTGGGTTCAGTCCTCAGCTCCAGGGGGAAAAAAAGGGGAGGGGATGATTTCAATAAATTGTCTTTGAAAAAAAGAAAGAAAAGACAGCTCACGGTGCAAGGGCAGACTTGTGGTCTGTGGGACAGAATGGACCACTCATTTCCGGCTGCTGCTAATGGGTGGCCAGTCGAGGCTGCTAAGCATCAATATCCCGACACAGGTCCGGACCCTCATTTTGTTTTGCAGTCGGGGAGGTGCGAGATAACTCTGACCACGGGTGATGGATGGAGAACTAGAATACAAAGGTGTTTTTAAACAGTATTCATTGGAGACATTTGAGGTAGGGAGACGGTGGTACGGGGGACCGTGGGAAAACTTGTAAGGCGTATTGTGTTGTGTTGTGCGGTGTTTCAAGTGCGGGGCGAGTTCTCAGTTGGATGATTGATTGCCTTCCCAATAGCCAAGTGTTATTTTGCTCCAGACTCAGTACTGCCACCCTGTGGAAACAAGGCAAAGAACCCAACCGAGTTCAAAGTCGGCATTTCAGCTAAGTGGTTCTGGATCTCTTTATGCCCAAATGTTTGTATAAGCTACAGTCTTCCTAAACCAAATCTGTAACTTACAAAATAAAAATAATTTGATAATTTGTTCTCCCACTTTTATAAATCATCTAAATGCTGCTCAAAACTTCTGACCAGACCCATGATAATCAACCAGTATTTCTATTTTGAGTCGATTTTATTCTAACAAAAAGCAGAGTGCCTTAAATCCCAGCACTTGGGAGACAGAGGCAGGCGGATCTCTGTGAGTTCGAGGCCAGCCTGGTCTACAAAGCGAGTTCCAGGATAGACTCCAAAGCTACACAGAGAAACCCTGTCTCGGAAAAAACAAAACAAAAAAACAAACAAAAATCAGAGATGCATCGGGAGTTACACAATCTCTATTAAAATAAACGCACATTGTGCCAGCTTTTTGCTTAATAAATGAAAATAGTTCAAAGCTGCAATACTACCAGCAAAGTGATTCAGGCCCGGGATCTTTGTTTATAAATAGTTTCCAGTGGTTTGCAAGCAGGGACAAGTGAATCCCCTAGGGAACATCTGGCATTTTAATTTTTTGCAAGAGGGAAAGAAGTTGCTACCAGCATCTGCTGGAGAGAGATTGGGAACGCTGCTAATCAGTGCCCAAGACAAAGCCACAATAAGAATCATCAGGGAGGGACTGGGATGGCTCCCCACAAAGCTCCAGCATCCATGTAAAAAGCAAGTATGACTGCGCATGCCTGTAAGCTCAGGCTGTGGAGACTGCAGGCCCACAGGAATTTGATGGCCCCTGGTCTAGCTCCAAGCTCAGTGAGAGACTCCATCTCAAGGGAATAGCTGCAACCTATTCCTTTGTGCAACCCAATAAAGTTTATCTGAGGACCAGAGGAAAAAGCGAGCCACTATAGTAAACATAGAGGTCAGGCAATGGTAACACACGCCTTTAATCCTATCACTGGAGAGGCAGAGATCTGTCTGGATCTCTGTGAATTCAACCCACACTGGGAACAGAGGTAGGTGTAGTGGCACACACCTTAAATTCCAACACTAGTTAACCATAAAGGTCTGGAGGTCTGTACAGACAGACAGGAAGTGACAGAGCTGGGCAGGAAGAGGAAGTGATGTAGCTGGGCGGAGAGAGGAAGTGAGATGCAGAGCGGAAAGGCATATAGGCGTGGGTATACAGGAAGTAGGTCTCTTTGGAGACTGAGGTGTCGGTGAGGTGAGGTTGTCTGTGGCTTGTCCTGTTCCTCTGATCTCTCTCAAGTTTTCACCCCCATATCTGGCTGCAGGTTTTTATTAATAAGACTGTCTAGCAATTCACCTTACAGGAGAGTGAAAGTAGATTCCCAAATAACCTCTTCTTGTCTCCATGTGTGTGCACTATACCCACACATACATATATCCTTATACACATAACACACACACACACACACACACACACACACACACACACACACACACAAATAAGTAATTATTTGGTCCAAAATAATAGCAATGAGATTGAAAACCACGGTCTAATCTAAACCTTTCACTGTGTAAGTGAAGAAAATGAGACCATGAAAAGTGAAATGACTTTTTTTTTTAAAGATTTATTTATTTATTATGTATACAGTGTTCTGTCTGCATGTATCCTTGTGGGCCAGAAGAGGGCACCAGATCTCATTACAGATGGTTGTGAGCCACCATGTGGGTGCTGGGAATTGAACTTAGGACCTCTGGAAGAACAGCCAGTGATCTTAACCTCTGAGTCATCTCTCCAGCCCCGTGAAATGACTTTTTAATTTTGAGAGTTTTTTTAAAATTCTTTTGAGACAGGGTTTCACCATGTAGCATCTAGATCTCGCTCTGTAGACCAGGCTGGCCTCGAACTCAAAGAGATCTGCCTGCCACTGCCTTCTGATTGCCAGGATTAAAGGCGTGCGCCGCCGCTGCCGCCGCCGCCACCCCGCCGCCACTTGGCTTAATTTTTAGTTTATTTGCCAATATCTTTAAGGGTTCCAAAGATACAACATACAACAATGTAAGCAAGACTTTAAGTATTTCTTCAAAGAACCATTTATCGATGGCCAACAAACATGAGAAGAGATGCCTACCAGCATTAGTCATTAGGGACATGCAAGTCAAAACCACCATGAGTCACACTTCAAACACACAGCTGGCTCGAATTAGTACTAACACACACACACACACACACACACACACACACACACACACACACACCCAGCTGGTGGTACCATTGAGAAGTGATTGGATTACCAGGGTGCTCACCTTACCAACAGATTAGCCGCTGATGAATTCTCAGCTGAGTAGGCGCACAGGCAGCAGCCCAGCCCAGTGTGAGATCCCAACGCTTGAGCAAGAGGGGCAGGGTCCGAATAAGAGGATGGTCCAATGTGAGAAGCTGCTTCCTGAGGTGGCATTGGTGATCATGCAGGTCCAGGGGCCCAGTGACAGGAAGCAGATCCTTGGTGACATGCCTTTGAAAAGTGTATGTTGTTCCTAACACCTTTATCCGTTTCATGGCTGACACCCGGTCAGCAGCGTCTTTCACCATACACTCTTGGCACTGTGACGTTCTGCCTTACTACAGGCCTAAAGTGATGGGAAAGCTGGCTGTGGACAGAGACCCTGCGAGCTGTGAGCCCAAATCCACCTTTCCCTGTGTTTGTAAGGATTTTGTCCCAGCGGTGGGAAGCCTCGACAACAGCCACACAGCCTATTAAGTAGCTTACAGCCATGTTTCTAGTGCCACCTGCTGCCCCCTCACACACTGCTTTTTCTATAACCTTCGCATAGACACACCGCTTACACGTCAACCCAGATCTTCTCGGGTTCATCTGTCTCCTAGGTCTTGGTTACAACGGGGACAGCTGCTGCCTCTGGTGTGACTAGCTACTTACTCAGTGGGGTCTCAGGTTCCTCCACCGGAAACTGGCACCAGAGGCTTCTTCTGCTACATCCACACTCCTGTTAACTGTAAGGCCGGGGATCTGGTTTTCTCATCTCTACCTTAGTAAGGAGGTGGGGACTCTCCACAGGGCACTAAGAGACAGGTGGGGACTGACTGGCAGGCAAATCCCCCTAATCTCTCTCTCTCTGATGTTCTCCAGCTCGTATTTCCACCAAGCCCACGTAGATATGAGTCCATATGACTAAGCAACTAGTTTTGTCTCAGTGAAGAAGCATGGACAGGCTCACAAGCCTGTCTCCTTCCTCTCCCTTATCTTTCTGCCTCATTCACCACCCTGGGATTCCGCCTGCCAATAGAGTGTTCTCATTTAAATGTTTCCTTAGAGCAGTGGTTCTCAACCTACCTAACGCTGCCACCCTTCAATACAGCTCCTTATGTCGCGGTGATCCCCACAACCGTAAAATTATTTCGTTGCTACTTCATAACTGTCATTTTGCTACTGTTATGAATCATAATGTAAACAGCTGTGTTTTCCGATGGTCTTAGGCGACACCTGTGAAAGGGTCATTCCACTCCAGAGGGGTCGTGACCCACAGGTTGAGAACCACTGCTTTACGATCTTGGGGCTCAGATCCTGAAGAATTTCAGCTCAGAGGAACTGAAATAATTGCTTTTTCTGGGTGACTGGACTTGTAGAAGCAAGCATTGCAGAAAATTTGAGTCTTGTAACTGGCACCCCCCTCCCCCAATCTTGTAACTTCAGTTTTCCCCATAAAGCTTGGAAACAAATATGCAGTCTGTCTTTGCTTTCATTACTTATTTCTCCTGTGTATTTTACAAGGCACTCTAAGTCCTTTGTAGATTATAGCACATAGCTTAATACAATGAGAAAAATACTAACACGAATCTGTTATGAGTTTAATTCCCAGTATTTCCAGAGTTAAATTAGAAGTCAGGCTAGGTATATCCAGGGCTCTGGGTATAAAATTTATGGATTTGTCAATTCAGACTTAATAATTAGAGCATACTGAGTGCCAGGACCAGTAATTATTCTTCTATTACCATGCAAAAATCATGGGCTAAGATTGCTCTCTGCTCAAAATGTATCTCTGAGATTATCAGCATACTTTTTCTTATTTTTTAGATTTTTTAAAATCTTATTTTGCATGTAGGTATGTGTACCTCAGGAGTGTCTGGTGGCCACAGAAGTCAAAAGAGAGAGATGAATCCCCTGGAACTGAAATTTTGGATGGTTGTGAATCACCATGTGGGTACTGGAAATCGAACTCAGGTCTTCTGCAAGAGCAAGAAGTGCTTTCCACAAAAGAGCCAACACTCCAGCACGTTGTCAGCATACTTTAATAATATAATTGACAGTCTTTAGGTCTAGGCCAGTCTGAAATCTTGAGTTACTCAGGAATCCATGCAAAACAATCTTCAGGTTCATATAGGGCTAGGTCTCCCGATAAAGAAAAAAAAAGTACTCTTCTTACACGGGTTTCATATCACAAGAGAACCGATATCTGAAACATTGAGATTACAGGAAAATTAAGTGGGATTCTGATCGATCTCTTTCCATCAGAGAGATGAACCCTCGATAGGTCAATTCCCTACATCCTTATTTACAAACGCATGTAAGCAGGCCTCCGGTTCTGGGTATGCTTAGAAATCAGAACGACAGAGGCCACCACACAGTATCCCAGACCCAACATGACCGGGACTCAACTTCTGTACTGACCCCCCGTTGGTCGAGTGGGCATTCTAAAATAGAGTACCGTGGCGCCAAAGGGGACCATGCCAGAGGCGCTCCCCAAGTGCTGGATCTGTGGGAGGATGAGCAGGGACCTCCAGAACCCGAACTCGTTCTCCCAGCTGAAGGACACCTTAAACCAGCAATTGCTAAAGAAACCACGTCCGCCGGCCAGGGAGAAGCAGAGAAAACAATCCTTGCAGCGAAGCAGCGAAACCCGGACCGCCCCGCCCCGCCCACTTCAGACCTCGCGCAGTGATTGGACGCAAACGCGCGCCTTTAACCTTTGGTTGCCAGGAGACAGCGCCCGCCATCTCCTCCAATCAGCAAGCGCGTCTTTGGGGTCCAATCGCAGAAGCCGAGAGATCGAGGCGGGAGGTTGAAAGGTGACGCCTCCTTTTTTTTTTTTTTTTCCTTCTTTGGCGGCCATTTCTCTCCGCGTTGAGCGAGCGGTTCGGGACGGCGGCGGCGGCGGCGGTTCCGGTTACGAGGGGTCGGTAGCAGCGGCGGAGTCGGCGGCTAGTGGGGTTGCAGCGCTCGCGGGTGTTCGCGATGGTAAGGAGGATGAGCGGGGCGGGGCGGGAGGGCGGGAGGGCGGGCGGCCTCGCGGGGGCGTGCTCGCCTTCCATTCATCCACATGGGCGGCCGCGCGGCCGGCCGCTCGCTCCTTCTCCCGGCTCGGCTCGGCTCGGCTCGGCTCGGCTCGGCTCGGCTCGGCTCGGCTCGGCTCGGCTCGGCTCGGCTCGGCTCGGCTCGGCTCGGCTCGGCTCGGCTCGGCTCGGCTCGGCTCGGCTCGGGGCGGGGATGGGGGTGGCGGGAGGAGGGGGAGGCCCTGCAGCGCGCGCTCGGAGCCTTTTCCCCTCCCCGAGCTCCCCTGCCGCCTTGTCCCGTTTTGTTTGACTCGGAGCCTTTTTTGGGGGGGGTTGGGGGGGCTGGGAGCAGGGAAGGGGTTAACTGAAGCGAGTTTTCCCTTTCTGCTCAGCACACTCCACCGTGCGCTTGCTGCATGCCGTGAGGTTGACAACCCCCCCGCTCATTGTCCTCTGGGACAGGAGGTCCAGGCTCCCCCTTTCGTTCCCTGAAGACGTTTGTTCTTAGGCGCCAGGGATATGGGGTGCAAACGGCTAATGCAGAACCTGCATTTTTTTTTTCTCAGATGGGGGGGGGGGTGTAGGCAGCAGTTCAGTGATAATAAGAAATAAGCGACCGCAGGTAGGGGGCGATTGCTAAGCAGGAAGCTGACAGGGATGCTCTGAGAGGCGCGTTGGAAGTTAGAGCGCTGTGCAGGAGGAGCAGCCGTCCCCGAAAGGTGGCATTTAACCAGAAATCTTAAGTGACAGAAAGAGCAGTGGGGAGAGGGTTTCACGAAATGAACTCTAACTAGAAAGTAGGTTGATCAGTTGAAATTTACAGGAATTAACAGCCGCTTGCAGGAATAGTGGTTTTGAAATAAGACTTTATTAATACTGTCATGCTGACACGTGCTGGAGTGTTGACTCTTGCGGAAGACCTGGGTTCGATTTCCGGGTCTGTCTACTTTAAGTGCAGTGGGGGAGACCATTGGAGCATTTTTAACCCAGGATATTACATGACTTGACAGATGCCTTAAAAATAGTAGTTGCTTTGTGGATGATAAGTTACAGACAGTGGGAATTGGCCACTGATTTAGACCTTACATCCTCTAAGATCACCTCATCTTAGACTTAGTAGCCAAGTTTCTTGTTTTCTTTGGAATGATGGATGCATAGATTTGGGAGTGTTGGTCCTGAATTTAAAGGGAACATTGTTTTTGCGGTTGCATTAAGAGGCACTACTCCTGATAAAAAATGGAGACCCAGCCCCGCCTCCCACAGTGAAAGCCTGCCAGATGTGACCTGCCTTCTACATTTGGCACTCACCGATGATAGTGAATTGCTTATGTCTGCAGAGATCACCTCAGACCATTACCTTGGTTTCTTTAGAGCTCGACTAGTGGGTAGTGATGTGGGTGTTCAGGGTTTTTGTTGTTCAGCAGTGCTTGGGATAGAACCAGTGGCCTCATGCCCACTAACTGGACCAGTGCTCTTGTCCCAGCCCCACCTGGTCTTCAGTATTTAATTGCATGATTTATGTTTTGTTTCAGTGAGTTGGATGTGAAGTTGACTAAATGGGTACTTAAAAGCGTCTGACACTCTCCAACAAATTGTAAAGTGCCAGGGAATCAGAGTTTGCCCTGACTGGACACCATGAAATCTTGATTGATTTTTGTTTTGTTTTGTTTTGTTTTGTTTTGAGACAGGGTTTCTCTGTGTAGCTTCGTGCCTTTCCTAGAACTCACTTGGTAGCCCAGGCTGGCTTTGAACTCACAGAGATCCACCTGGCTCTGCCTCCCGAGTACTGGGATTAAAGGCGTGCGCCGCCAACGCCCCGCTGATTGATGTTTTAGTAGAGCGGTGGGTGGGAGAAGCCGAGCTAAGCAAAAATGATTGAATACTGCTTTTGTTTTTCTGTGCAGAGTTTACCCCTCAATCCCAAACCTTTTCTCAATGGACTGACTGGAAAGCCAGTGATGGTGAAACTCAAGTGGGGGATGGAGTACAAGGGCTACCTGGTCTCTGTGGACGGCTACATGAACATGCAGGTGAGCCGAGGAGGGGTGGGCGAGCTAAGGTGTTACAGGAGCTGTAAACTGGGTTTCTGTTGCTTCACCTTACTCCTCAGAGTTTTACTGTGACTGATAAGAACATACACAGTTAAATTGAATTCGGGATTAAATTTGGATCTACGCATCCAAATACTCCAGGGAGGAGATTGACACTATGGTGGACTTAGTGGTACTAACCCAGTATTAAACCAGAACCCCGTCATCGACCTTACTATGGCAGTCAAAGAAAGAAGAGCTTTGTCATTTGGTTTCTAATACCACAAGGGGAAAGCTAGTTTATTACAGAAATCAAAACTTCCCAGCACTTCCTTCTTCAAAGATTTTTTTTTAAAGGGAGATTTTTAAATTGCTTTAATGAACTTTAAAGACACAGTATTGAGTGAAAGCATTTTTCCATAGAACAGACTGAAGAAACAAAGGAACTGATAATTGACTGGGCCTTAGTTTCTGTAAATGATTCAGCCAGTCTTTTTCTTTGTAATGAAGGATATCCCAAAACGTGTCTAGTTCAGCATTTAGCTCTATAATTCAGCGCATTAGTACATTCAGTTGCTGTGTGGCCATCACCATTATTCATTCCCAGAACGTTTTCATCGTTCACAAGTGGAACTCTGTACCCAATAAAAAAATTCCCTGTCACCTGCCTCCTCTAATGTAGTTAGTTCCTGGTAAGTGCTGTCTATCTCTGAGCTTGTCCCTTCTCTGTTCCTCATGTAAGTGGGGTGTAGTACAGATTCAGCTAACTTCAGATCAAAATACTTAGGAGAAAACTTCTATCTGCTCAAGATATACAGACTTTATTAACCCCATAAGCAATACATTATAACAGCTATTTATGTAATAAACCGAACTGGGTTATGAGCAATCTAGAAATTTTGTGAAGGGCATTAGGTTATACGCAAATACTCAGCTATTTGAAACAAAGAGCTTAAACATCCTTGGCTCTCTGAGAGGCCCTGGAACCACCCCCCCATGAATGCCTTCAGACAGGTATTTTGTCCTTTTTCTGGGGTGATTATTCATTCAGGATTCATTGGTGTTATAAAATGTTGGAATTTATTGCTTATCAGGACTGAGTAACATGCTGTTGTATGGGTATGTCACATCAGTTCTTTAAGTACTGGAGACCAAACTCAGGGATTTGTACGTGCTGCACAAACCATCTGCCACTGAGCTCCATTCTCAGCCTGTCCACTCATTTCTATTTTTATGTGTATGGATGTTTTACCAACATGTATGTATGTACACCATGTGTGTACCTAGTGCCCAAAGAAGAGGGCACTGGACACCCTAGAACAGGAGTTAGAGATGTTGTGAACCACCATGTGGGTGCTAGGAATTGAACCCAGGTCCTCTGGAAGAAAAGCAAATGTTCTTAACCTCTGAGCCAACTCGTCAGTCCCAAACAAGCACTTTTTTCAAGTCTGCTTTTAACTGTTGAGTATCCACACAGGAGTGGGAGTGCTGGTCCCACGTTTAGTGTTTGTGAGTAGCTGTCATACTGTTTTACAGAAGAGCTGCATGGTTTGAGTTCCTTCCCACATATGCACTGACACTTGTTTTCTATGACGTTTCTCTTTTATGTATAAAATATTCTCTTGGATTAGATGTGGTGTATCCTTTTGATTTGCATTTTCCTGATGACGTTGAGTACATTTTATTTATGTTATTAGCCATGTGCTTATGGTCTGGAGAAATGTGTATTCACATCCTTTGCCTACTTTTATATGTATTTTTTTATTTTATTTTATTGTAGTTTTTAAGACAAAGTCTCATTGTGTAGCCCTGGCTAGCTTGAAACTTGCTGTGTAGACTGGGCTGGTCTCGAACTCATAGAGATATGCCTGTCTCTGCCTCCCATGTGTTGAGATTAAAAGCTTGTGCTACCATGTCTGGCATCTTTGCCTGTTTATTATTTTTTTTGTGTGTGGTGGTTTAGGTGTAATTTCTGCCCAGTTTTAAAGGTTACTTGTGTGGATAGCTTAACCAGAAATCCAGCTAACAAGAATATGGGTGGTTTTGTTCTAGAAAATTCTTGAAAAGAGTCATTCACAAAGGCTATAGAAAATCATGGTGAAAAATACTGTGTGGAATTAGTGATGAAAGTTTAATTTTATGAATACACTGAAAAACCACAGAATGTATGATTTCAAAGTAAGTTTTGTTCCACCCCAGCACCAATTTGTTGACAGAGGTGGAGGATCAGAATTAAGCATCATCCTCAACTACATGGAGAATTGGAAGCCAGCTGAGACTACTTGAGACCCTGTTGAAAAAAACAAACCACCTAATACTGGGTTTTCCAGTTAATGTAGCTTCCCCAAGTTACAAAATGTGTCTCTGAGTGAGCCCAGTTTCTGAGTTGCTTCAGTTAGCCAGAACTTATTATCTGTTTGCTACTGTGGTTATAACAGTGAGCAAAACAGAGTCCTTAAGCTTGAACTTGTTTCAGTGGTGGGAGATGGTAATGTAACACACTTCGATAATTAGGTGTGATCCACAGTATGGCGGTAAAGCAAGTGCAGGGGGATAGAGTGTGTGGTAGTAAACAGGAGAGTCCAGCTTCTCTGAAGAGACTACGATCATCTAGTGGAAAGTCATCTCAGGTGGAAAGAAGAGCAGATACAAATTTTCTTTTCACAGGGCATGCTTGGTGTGTTCAGGGTCCAGAAAGCCAGAGTAGAACCTTTTCAGCAGTAGTGAGGGCTGTGGATTTAATACACAATAGGAAGCTTTGGGGCATTATTGTAGGAAATTTAGAAGTCAGTTAAGGGTTGGGGCACATGCCAAAAATACTTATAAAATTAGTTATTCTTGCTGGAGAGATAGCTCAGTGGTTAAGAGCACTGGTTGCTCTTCCAGAGAATCAGGGTTCAAATCCTAGCACCTCATGGTGGCTCACAACCCTCTGTAACTGAGAGGGTCCAACATGTTCTTTAGACCTTCATAGGCACCAGGCCAGACACACACGTGGTGCACAAACACTCATACACAGAAAATAATAAATTAAAATTAGTTGCTCTTAATATATTCCTTCTGATAGCAATTATTTACAAACTGAATAGTCTCACAAACATGTTTTGGGTGACATGTTATCTGGGTGTTTTGTTTTCCTCTAGAGAAGAAGCACCCAGCAGGTTTAAATGCCTTATGCCACATGTCCCTGTTTTCTTTCCTTGTCCACGACCTGCATAGGAAGAAGGAGTCCTCTTATTCTGCCTTTGGTGACTCCATCTGGTGTTGGTGGTGGGTTTTTGGTTTTTTTGTTTGTTTTATTTATTTTTTTTTTTCAAGACAGGTTTTCTCTGTGTAGCTTTGCGCCTTTCCTGGAACTCACTTTGTAGCCCGGGCTGGCCTCGAACTCACAGAGATCGCCTGCCTCTGCCTCCTGAGTGCTGAGATTAAAGGCGTGCGCCACCACCGCACAGCTGTTTTTTTTTTTTTTTTTTTTTTTTTAATTATAAGAATGACTAAACGTTTTTAATTTAAAATTAGAATAGAGTTCACTAAAATAATTCTACAGATCATTCTTGATTTTTTTCCCCCCTGTGGAGTACATGAAATTTTCAAAATCTTATTTCTTTAGTTTGGTTGTTGGTTAATATATTTTATCCATAACTTTTGTGTGCCCATTTGAATAACTTAATATGGTTCATAATGTTTTGCTCTGAGAAAGTTAATGTCTGGTTATTTGGAATTGAATTTTCAGAAAATTGAAAATTTATAACTCATAAATTGGAAGCTTTCTTTTGAGCCACTTTGATATCAGCTAGAAATAACATCTAGAAGGCTTAACGACTTTGAAATAAGCTTTATTATATATTAGTTTTGTACCATGCATGTCTTAATACAGAAGATCCAGAGATACAAGAGTAATAGAAAGCTAATCTTCTACTTACTAATTACAGATACAATCTGAGTTGGTGTCAAATGGTCTCAGTTAATGTGCTCTCACCAGGAGTAGGGATGCTACCCTGTTTTCTTGTGCAATCATACTAACATTTTTCTTTTTTATCTAAAGCTTGCAAATACAGAAGAATATATAGATGGTGCATTGTCTGGACATCTGGGTGAAGTTCTAATAAGGTAATAAGCGCATTTGTGTGTGAGGTGTTACTGGTGAACCTCAGAAACAGTCTGCTTAAATAAATTAAAGTAATCCCCAAACTGAAGGACTAAAGAAAAAAAGAGGCAAAAGATTTAACAGTACTCAACATGTAGACTTCAGAAGCCTTTGAAATTACTAAATTCGTTGGGAGATTTCAGTTCATCAAGGTTTTTGTACTATTGATTACATTTCCTGGCCCTTAGCTGTAACCTGTTTCAGTGTCCTGGGTTACGGACCTTGGATTTGGATTTTAGTTGAGTCTAGCTGCTAAGGATTTCTGTTGTATTCGTTTTCCAGTGTGAACAACCACCTATATTCTGATAGGTTGTAGAGGTGTGATGACAGTGGTAAAAACATGCCGTGTACTTTTAAACACCTGGGTAGCACCAACAGAGGAGGGTGGAGCTGTAGGTTTAGTTCCAGTCTGAAAACGGAGCGGTGATGATCATGCATGTTGGAGTGAACCTGAAAATGGACCACTTTTTCTGTTTACAGGTGTAATAATGTCCTTTACATCAGAGGTGTTGAAGAAGAAGAAGAAGATGGGGAAATGAGAGAATAGCATCTTCGGGTTTTTTTTTATATATATATGTGTATTTCTATACAATAAAAATTTGGGTTTTTTTTCAACTTGACTTGTGAACTATTTATATGCAGACATTCATAAGCAAAACACAAATGTTGAAACAGTGGATGGATAATTCATAGAACTAGTGATGCTTTAAAAACCACCCAGTTTCATTTAAGGTGACTTTTATAAACTTACTGTTTTCATTTTTTTCTATGAAGAATAAAGAAGTTTATGCTTTAGAATTTTTCTGAGGGTGAGTTTCAGCCATTGTAATTTTATTAACTGAGACCTTTTAAAAGTAGCTGTTAAGGTTTCCAAACCACTTCTAACATGCATAAAGTTAAACATTTTCTTAGTATTTATATATATTGTATTAATAAATTATTTCTATATCAACATAGACTAAATAACATATTGTAGCTAAGTCAAAACATGAAAATTGAATATTATGGAGATAGAACGTAATACAAACTGACTCTGAGACTGAAGGTGTATGGTTTGTTCACTGAATGAAGTTTTCTGGAAGGTTTTCCGAGCTTAACGTGAAATAACCAGTCTCATGATCTGAGACCATAGTCTACAGTTGGTACTTTTTAAACCTGTCCAGTTCTAAGAAGAGTACATTGTTAAAATGTATATTCATAGCCATGAACTTCCTTATTGCTTTAGAAATATGATTAAAATTCTCATGCTTTGAGGGAGGCCATTCTGCTCTAAGTCATGCTTCGTGTAATTATATCAATGAATTGACTTTGGATGTGTGTATCCAAAGGGGACATCTTAAAATACAATGGAATGATACTAGTGAGTAATAGTTCTAGCAGAAGAAAACAGTTGCCATTCCTACTACAAACTTCAGGAGAAAGGTCTGCCTTCCTGGAATTTGTTAGGACAGTATTGCATCACTGAACGCCAACGTTCACATAGAACGTTTGCTAGTTAAATTTCTCCATGCTCCTGTTCAGCTAAAGAAATACTCTTCCTCCAGTGACTTTGTTCTTGTATCACTGACTAAAAGGAGCTCCTGTTTGCTAGCAGATGGAGGTTTCGAACGGTAGACCAGTCGTCTTCCCAGCTGAAACAGGAAAAACAAGATAATTCTCTTTGGCATAACTTTTCTATTGCAGTATGTATAATACCAATATTAACTTGAATTTTTACATGAATAAAATGGTTTGAAATAGTAAAAGTTACAGGAGATGGATATAACCTTGTAGATGTCCAACATGCATGGCAATTTGAGCACCCATGGAATACAGAAGACAGCACTTGGCTTTTGTGGTCAGTGGAGTGGTTTACAGAAGGAGCAGGTAGCTCACAGGACTAAGAAAGCACTGTGCTGAACACTAATGTTGTGTTCCTCAGGTGGGCTTCCTCCATGGCTGCCAGGGGTGCTTTGTTGAGCCGATTTTGAGAAAACCATTTAAACATCAGTGTTGTGGAGTCTTGGGAGTGTGTGCATTAGGAGGGTTAAGGAAACCTCTCCCTTCTTTAGAGGGCACCTTCCCTTTGTTTTCTGTTTGGCAATTCCAGGTGAATTTTTATAACTGGTGTATGGGTGAGGGAACGACCATGTTGTGTTGATCGTGAGATCTGAATCCCCAGTGTGCCTCAGAAGGGACACGGCCTTTCAGGCCGGACAGTTCTCATGCGCGACTGGACCAGGGGCCTGTTCTGGCCCCAAACCAACCTTCTTCTTGGGTTGTGCCACCGCTCGTTCCAGAGCGGCTTTGAGCCGCTCCTCCTGGTACCTTTGCTTTTCCTTCACCTTCTCTTCACGCAACCTGTTGTCGGCAAGGAGGACCTTATCAGAGATTCTGTAGCTTGTGAAAGTAAAGCATCCACATTTGTATTGTTTGGTAAGGAACCACCCAAGTGTAAGATTCCTAGAGTATTCTGGCAACGGGAAGACATTGCATTTCACCATCTTGGAGAAGTGCTTCTTCCCCGTGTGGTCAGAAGCAAGGCCACGTCTTCCTCTCTCCGTCCCACCAAAGCACTGTATACCACAGCCACTTTAGCTTCCAGCCACCTCCCTGGCCTGCCTTTCGAGTTTCTTTAAGGAAAGTGTGCACATCACCCTGGTGCAGTGGTTCTCAACCTGGGGGTCAGACGACCCTTCCACAGGGGTCCCATCAGACAGCCTGCTTATCAGATTATTTACATTACAATTCATAACTAACAAAATTACAGTTAGGGAGTTAAGAATGGAAATGGTTTTGTGGTTGGAGGTCACCACAGTATGATGAACCATATAAAGGGCCAGCAATAGAAAGGCCGAGAACTACGATCTAAACCATGGAGGAAAAGGCCTTCTGAAAACTGGAACTGTGTGCATATTACTGCTGAAAATAAGTTGTAAGTGCACTCTCCAGACTGCTACTATAAAAAACTGAGGTCATCTGGGAGGAGTCATCCTCCACTTAGATTAAGTCTGCTTTATCTTCTGTAAGAGCCTTCATTTTTACATGAGAACTGATAAATAACCCTCTGCAGCAGTAATACAGTAACGGTAGTCATGGCTAGTCTGTGTCAGACGTGCTCAGTGCTTTTCCCTTGATTGTTTGATACATCAACCCTAGGAAGTAAGTATCACAGCTTCTGCTTAAAAAAAAAAAAAAAAAAAGAAAGACTAGGCAGACGTTCCCTGCTGTAGGTCACAGTAGTTGTAGCTAAAAGGGCAAGCAGGCAGGCTCCATGCCCACACCTGTCACACCTGGAGCCAGAGTTCATCTGCCTCTCCGTGTGTTTCCCTTGGCTAGAACATGCACATTATGACTCATAATTCAGCACTCCCCACGTGCCATGTGATAGCAGCAACCATGTTAGAGTGATAATAGTTCCAAACAAAATGCCTAGGCAAATCTCGAACTTGTAGAAGTCCGTCAGGGTGAGGTTTTAGTCCTGTAAGGCTGTCTGGGAAGAAATGAGTGGAGGTGTGAGTGCCAGCCAAGTGTTGTCACAGGGGAAACCTCTCACTGTATAGCTCTGAACCTCAAGCCATTCCTTCAGACACCAGGTGACCCTGTGGTCTTCTAATGCTAGAACCTTCACCATAGTGCTGTTCCTACACATGACAGCCCTTGAGTGATGTCCATGTGACTTGAGACAGCTTCCCCACGGCCATCCTAATTGGGTCATTCGTCCCTGGTAAATTATTTTCCCAGCTCTTTTGGTACGGAGTGCTCATTACCTACTGTAACACTAACACACTCGTTTCCCAAGAGTATCCTCTGGGAAGGGCAGGGATGGATGGGCTGACCCTTGACTGCACCCCCGACGGCAACAATGCTTGCCGAATAGAGATTGCTAACAGTGGGCGGGGTTTACACACAGTAGGCCACTTAAGCCATTGACGAGACAGAGGAGACTGTCACAGTACTTTTGCCGGCGTTCCTTCTGTTTGATCCTTTCAATTGCTTCCACGTTTTCCTTGGGGACAGACTCAATGAGGTCACTCAGTTCCACCAGGCGAGACTCGACTTTGACCAGTTTTTGAACTGCATTCAGGCTGCCGACCTCAGCATCTCCGATGCAGACTCTGTATACTTGGTTAATCTTTTTAACTAAGGGAGTCTATCAGCTTTTCCTGAGCTCAAGAAGAAAGAGCAGAAAACAGTCCATCACTATATGGGGGCTTACTGTCAGTCAATACAAAATTCCACTCTACAGTGTTAACAGTAAAAAGTCTTTTAAATGTCGCCGGGGCGGGTGGTGGCGCACCGCCTTTATATCCCAGCACTCGGGAGGCAAAGCCAGGCGGATCTCTGTGAGTTCGAGGCCAGCCTGGACTACCAAGTGAGTTCCAGGAAAGGCACAAAGCTACACAGAGAAACCCTGTCTCGAAAAATCAAAAAAAAAAAAAAAAAAAGTCCTTTAAATGTCATTATTTAGTGCTGGGGAGAGAACCCAGAGCCTATTTTCCCTAAATGCTTTAAAAGACAGATCAGGGCTGGGCAGCCACGCTCTGGAGGCAGAGGCAGGCAGATTGTGAGTTCAAGGCCAGCCTGATCCACAGAGTCGAGTTCCAGGACAGTCAAAGCTACACAGAGAAACCCTGTGTGTGTGTGTGGGGGGGGGGGGGGGGGATGTGACGGGACTCCATTACTGGACAGTGGTGGCACACACTTCTAATCCCAGCACTTAAGGCAGAGGCAGGCGGATCTCAGTGAGTGGAGTGGGGGTGGGGGGGTGGGGAGGCAGTGGGCAGAGAGAAGGATCAAAGACAGTACCTGGATAACATAAGGTGCCTGTCAACAGTAAACAGGCCCTGATGGGACCAGAGCAGTGTTTCAAACTCAAGAGCTGTCTGGATGGCATCGTGTGTTCCTTCCAAGGAGTCCATACTTCTAATCCATGTCTCTACACCTCCCAACTCAACTTTGTGAGCTCCTGGCGCATGCACATAAAACTAGAGATGACCACATTCAGCAAACATTCCATCCCGAGGCCACTAAACCAACCCGCTGCTACTGAAAACCATGTGGGTGAACCCCGCAAACATGCATGCCTTTAATCCCAGCACTCAGGAGGCAGAGGCAGAGGCAGGTGGATCTCTGTGAGTTCCAGGCCAGCCTGGGTTACGGAGTGAGTTCCAGGACAGGCTCCAAAGCTACACAGAGAAACCCTGTTTCGAAAAACAAAACAAAAAAAATCATTTTATAGTTACAGGTTTGAAGTCCCTAATTATGGATACCAAAATCAGGTGTGCCACATTGTCCTCAATAAATCTGGGGGGAGGGGGGTAAAATTAGGAATGGATCTTTAGTCATAAAGGATTATGTTTTGTATATTTTAAGGTTTGAGGAATCATTCGAGGGTCTAGGGGGTACAGCTTTGGTCCAGTGCTTGTCTAGCATGCATGAGAGGTACCCAAGAACTGCCTGGAACAGTAGAGTGGCATATGCTTGTAATTCCAGCCTCACGAGGGAAGTGGAGGAGGAGAAACCCAAGGCCGTCCTCGGCTACATAGTTTGAGGCCAACTTTAGATATGAGACCCTGTCTCTCAAAAGCAAACAAACAAACAAACAAACAAACCCACTTCCCTTAACTTTCCCGTTGTTTTCCCCTTCTCCCATATCCCATACTTCATATTTTTGGAAGACCACGAGTTACTAGCTCTGGAGCGTGCCTGCAAATTCTGCATGGGTGCCTGTTTTATTCTTGTGACTGTTATGTCGTGGATCATCTTAAGAAGGAATTTTCAAACCAGTTCTTAGTTCTCCTACCATCTGGGCGTTGAGCCCTGGGCCTTTCACAACTAGATCCTCCCTTCTCTTAGTTGATTCAATGTTTAAAAGTATTGAAGATTTATATATATATATATATATATATATATATATATATATATAATTATAGTTCCCTACACTGAGATTAGAGGGGTTTTGTTGAGGTGTGGGTACTGTTAAATATTACAAATAATTTATCTCTTACTTTACAGGGCAGTCAGCTTCAGAATTATTTAAGAGTTGAAGGTTAGAAACAACCCATGTCCATCAGTAGATGAATGAGTAAACAAAGTATGGTCCACAGGATGGAATATTACTTAGCTTTAAAAAGGGCAAAGTTCTGATACGTGCCACAGTGTGGATGAATACGGAGAACATCATGCTTTGCAATACGAGCTCTAGACGAAGGACACGTGTTGTACATATCCACTTACGCAAGATACCCAGAAGAGTCACATTCAGAGACAAAAAGCGCACGTGGGAGGGAAAGGGATGGGGAATGTGTGTTTATGGGTAAGCAGCCTTTCTTGTACAATCTGAGAGGCATTCTTGAGAGCGGTTGCAGAACAGTGTGCATGTATTTAACACCACCAAACCGGACATTCAAAAAATGGTCAAGATATTAAAGCTTACGCTTAAGTGATGGAAAGTCTACTTCGGAAATAGACTGTGGTCACAGTTATGCTCCGTGAATGTCCTTAATGCCATTGAGTTGCACACTCGAATGGTTAGGAGGTAGATTTTGTGTGTATCGTACCACATGGTTGACTAAAGTTAGAATCAAAACACTTCCTGCCATAGCTCTAAGACATCATGCTGTCATGCCTTAGGCCATGCATGTGCCTAGCAGCCATAAACAACTTTTGCTTTGAGTAATGTAGGTAGGGGTGGATGGCTGCCTGTCTTCTAATGCAGCCCGCTCCACAAATCTACCTCTGTCTAAAAAGTCAAGATTCACAATCGTATATGTAATGTTAGCCCCACACAGCAGCTTTGGCTCCTTACGTCATTTGAGGTCTTTCCAAGAAACCAATGGTAGTTGAAGTTTCTTGTGGATCTGAAAACTACCCTGTTCATTCATTCAACAGACATTTATTGAGCGCTAACACTCTGGGGACCCCTGAGCTCATTAACAGACTAGTCCCTGTGTGGAGGGGCTTGCATCCAGCTGGGAGAGATGGGCTTGTCAACAGACAAGGGTATTCGGATGTGTCACAGTGCTGGGAAATGAGTCAGTCTGTTGGGGCCATAGAAGTTGACACATTGTCTAGACTCAGGGCAGATTGTCCATTCCGTGTTAAGTGTGTGTGTTCACTGTGTTACTGTCTCTTGAATTGGCACCATCCACAGACAGAGAAATGCAGTTTGAAATAACTACAGCAACATTTCACGTGAACATTTCACGTCAATATAAATGGTTCCTATCTAGGGAATTGACTCTCTCAAACTGGCAAAATTCCAAGCTGGTTTTCAATTCCTGTCAACCGTTTGTGGATTGCCTTAGCTCCCCCTGTTAAGTGCTCAGCACCCAGGGAGGCCTAATTACCAGGAGAGAAAGTCACCACAGGTCAAGAATGTACCTGAGCCTCCGAATTGAATTCTCCAAAACTGAAGAGCCTGGACCTCAGCTCCAGTTCCGCTGCCTTTTCCTCCTCCCGCTCACAGTTCGCCTTAAGCATCTGCTTGTGTTCCATCAGGAACTCAATGTTGTTGTTTCTGTGGCAAAAGGAGGGGACCTTGGATTGCAGCTCAAGGTTGAGGGACCCAGTCCTTGCTGGGCGTAAGTCAGCACCTGGCACCCAGCAAGTGCACACAGCTCATAGTGTGTGTGTGTGTGTGTGTGTGTGTGTGTGTGTGTGTGTGTGTGTGTGTGTGCGCATGTACTCGTGTGTGTGTGTGTGTGTGTGTGTGTGTGTGCGCGCGCGTGTACTTGTGTGTGTGTGTGTGTGTGTGTGTGTGTGTGTGTGTGTGTGCGCGTGTATGAGCCCATACATAAGAAAAAGGGAGGGAAGGAGGGAAGGAGAGAGAGAGAGAGAGAATCGTGTGAGTTGGGTCTGTGTTACCATGCATGTAGGAGTGGGAGCCTGTGTTTGCATGGAGGTCCAGAGGTCAACCTCAAATGTTGATCTTTACTTTTCACCTTGTTTGAGACAGGCCCTCTTCCTTTAAAAAAAAAAAATGTTTGTTTGTTTGTTTTAGTCGGGTGGGGATGAATGCTATGGAATATATGTAAAGCAGAGATAACGTGAAGGACTCGGCTCTCCCCTGCTACCGTGTGGAGTCCGGGGATTGAACTCAGGCTTGGCAGGCAGCATCTTTACCCACTGAAGCATCTCAGTGGCCCAGGGTTTCTCTTTTGTTGTTCACTGAAGCCAATGCCAGGCCGTCTGGCCCCTGGGCTTCTGGGGAGTCTCTTGTCTCTGCCTCCATCTTGCCTTAGGAGCACTGGTATTACAGAAGTGCGCTACGACATCTGGCTGTAGGCAGGTTATGGGATTCGAACTCAAGTCCCGCATGCTTGCTCAGGGACTTGTTCAGTGACTGTTTTATCCCGAGTCATTTCCTCAGGTCTACACTCAAGTTGCAACTAAGCAAATACATGCTTGAATGCAGGCTTTGCCTTCCATCAGAAGACAGTTTCTTCCCTTTCTCTGCTACTGTGGTTCTTCTCAAGACCCAAACGGAAATCAGCAGTGTGCGGCATCAGGACCCCACGCTGTGCCATCTCCAGCATGTGCGTGTCCCCAGAGCTGGCAGGATCATCAGAATGGCCTCAGCTTCAGGGAAAATGGAGACGCCTGACTAGTTTGTCTTGAGATTCTGGTAAAAATCCTCCAGAGCATGGGCTGGAGAGATGGCTCAGTGGTTAAGAGTGCTGACTGCTCTTCCAGAGGACCCGGGTTCAATTCCCAGCACCCACATGGTGGCTCACAACCATCTGTAATGGGATCTGATGCCCTCTTCTGGTATAAAGGTGTACGTGCAGATAGAGCACTCACCTTATGAATAAATAAATCTTAAAAAAAATTTTTCCAAAGGTTTGGACATAGATCCCTTTCCCTCCCAAACATGCCTACCTTGTCTGGAGGAGTGTGGCTCCACACACCGCATGGGTCAGGATCGAGGGCACAATGGGATTGCTGGGGAGCACTGATTAGTTTTTGGGTTCTTGCCTTCTGGGCAAATTAATTGGTTCTGAAGTTAAATGTAGTTTGACCTATTTCTTAAAAAGTTTGCCATCTTCTGATCCAGAAAACTCTGCTGAACAATTCTACACATTTTGCAAACAAATAGATACCAAGCTTTATTTAAACTCTATAATCTGAAGCTCTTTCTCAAAACTGTCATCTTAGGGTAGGGGACTCTGTGAGTCATCTAGTCTCCTCTATACTAGGCCTGCGATGCCGCCGCACACATAAAATGACATGGTACTCGATCACAGAACGTCATTGTGCTGAGATTCACAGGCAAGGAAAATTGCATTTATTACCACTCAATCTAGGTAGTGACAGCTAGCCGGCTGACGGCTGTCCTGGACAGAACGAAGGCAATGGGTGTCGTCTCAGCAAGTCAGAGGGAACAGGAAGAAAATTAAACGAAAACCAGCCTACTCTGTACAAATGCAAATTCGACCCTTTTTTTTATGCCCATCATGTAACTCATTTTTGATTAAAGCTCTGGCCTAAACCATGAGAAGAGACATTCCAAAGCGAGTCGGATGTGGCCTCTGGTTAGTAACTGTTGAACAGGAGAAATGTACTCACATCTTGTCCTGTATACATTTTTCTCTCTTGTTGACATCTTCGAGATTCTCATCCACATCTTGGGAATATTGGACCAAGGTGAGATTCTGTTCCTCCAGCTCTTTGAGGACCCACAGCAACTCTTCTGGCTCGTTGAAGTAAATCTCTGGTATCTAAGCAACAGTGAGGAGAAGGGTCTCACAGCTGTGCTCATGTGACTTGTCTAGACATTATAGGGAGGGAGCTGTCATCGGCTCTCCGAGCACGCAGGCACGCAGGCACGCACGCACGCACTCGTCAAAGTACTTGAGAAGATCAACTTTTAAGGAGGACTCATTTATTTTTGCTCAGGGACTATTGTAGATGTATGATGCCACACTACACTGTGGCAGGATCAACGTGGGGGAGGCCTGTTCACGTCACAGTAGCCAAGAGGTAAAGAGAGAAAGACACTGGGGACCCCCAATTCCATTTCAAGAACACACTCCCAAAGAAGACAGGACTTCCTTCCACTAGGCCCCATTCCCAAGATGTTACATCCCTGCAGATGTCACGTGGTCTGCAGTAATGTCTCCCCCCCCCCCCCCCCCCCGCCCCCCGCCACCCCCAGCACTGGGGACCTCACAGAAGCTTTTGGAAATGTTCAGAATCCACACTAGAGTGACTGTTCTGAGTATGAGGGAGGCAGGGAGAACTGTAAGGGAGCCCCACCTTGTTCCGGGGGAGAGACGGTAAACAGTAAGCGATGACTTGGGGTGTGGGGAGAGACGAGAAAGATGAGCGAGGAAGAGAGGGGGTGAAAGGATAAAGGCTACAGCGGACGAGGAGAGAGGGGCAGGAAAGGGGAGAAAGGGAAGACAGGAAACGGAAGGAGCCTCATTTCCTCCCAGTGCTAATTACTTGATATGCTCTCGCTTTTTAAGAATAAGTATTGCTTTAAGTAAGCATTTTCAAAGATGACTTATATATTAATATAATGTGTGATTGTTCCTTCCAGTAGCCGAGACACAGAAGCAATAAAAATATTCATAGATGGAATACAGTACAGTATACGCACAATGGAACGTTATTCAGCCTAAAGAAGGAGACATTCTTCTACAGTACATTTGTGTGACTATGAACATGTGTGTGCCGGTATGTGTGCACATGTGTGTTGGGGCTGGAGGAGAACCTCAGATGGGGTTCTTCAGGCACTACCCACTATTTTTTTTTTTTTTTTTGAGACAAAATCTTTCGCAGTCCTGAAACTCACCAAGTAGTGACTGGCCAGCAGGCCCCAGGAATCCGCCTGTCTCTACCTCCCATGTGTTAGGGTTATAAGCACACAGCACCATGCCTGGTTGGTTTCTTTGTTTTTGTAAGGGGTTCTGGGACTGGAAATCAAGTCCTCGTGCTTGTAAGCACTGTACCTACTGAGCTCGCTCCCCAGTTCCATTAGGTTGTCATTTAAATGAGCATTTTTGGTTTGGTTTGTTTCGAGACAGGGTTTCTCTGTGTTGCTCTGGCTGTCTTGGAACTCACTCTGCAGACCAGGCTGACCTCAAACTCACAGAGATCCACCTGCCTCTGCCTCCCGAGTGCTGGGATTCAAGGCGTGCACCACCACCGCCTGGGTTAAATGAGCTTTGAGGATTATTAGGCTAAGTGAAAGAAACCAGTCTCTCCCCCGCCCCCCTACACACACACACACACACACACACACACACACACACACACACAGAAAGAAAAGACCAATAGTGTACAACCCACTTCCTTAATAGCCAGTCTCTTAGAAACAGGAAGTGGAAAGATGGTTGCCAGGAGGTGGGGGTCGGAGGGGGTGTTGCATGGGCACACGGTGCTTCGGCTTTGCAAGAGGAGGATGTAGAATCTGCCTCGAAGTGGGGTGTGTATGGTCCACACTGCTGCATTGCACACTGAAAATGCTAAGATGGACATCCACGTGTTTGAACACAGTTGTTTTTTTTTTTTTAATTTATTTATTTATTATGTATACTGCATGTATGACTGCAGGCCAGAAGAGGGCACCAGATCTCATTACAGATGGTTGGGAGCCACCATGTGGTTGCTGGGAACTGAACTCAGGACCTCTGGAAGAGCAGCCAGTGCTCTTCACCTCTGAGCCATCTCTCCAGCCCCCGAACACAGTTGTAAAAGCAGGGTGACCTGAGTAAGGCATGTCCTGGGTAGTAATGGGGGGTGTTGGAGGGGTTTGTTTTCTTCTTTAAGGTTTATTTATGTTTATGAGTGCTCTATCTGCATGGCTGACTGCAGGACAGAAGAGGGCATCGGATCTCATTACAGATGGTTGTGAGCTACAGGTGGGTGCTGGGAATTGAACTCGGGTCCTCTGGAAGAGCAGTCAGTGCTCTGAACCATCTCTCCAGCCCCTCCCTGTTTTGTTTCTTTTAAAAATCACTCTCAAGCCTTTGTGATTGCATTCAGGTTGAGGTAAGCTCACAGTCAGTTCTGCAGCAATAATGGGCTCTTTGGCGGGAGGAGTATTGATGGTTCTGCTTACCCACCAAAATAAAAAGTAATCCTGGGCTGGCGAGCTGGCTGAGTGGATGAAGCACTTGGTGTGCAAGGATGAGAACCAGAGTGTAAAGGGCACGTGTAAAAGATGGGTGGGTGTGGCAGCCACCCCACTCCCCCGCCCCCAACACTCTCGCCTTGTAATCCTAGTGGTTGGGAGGTAGAGACACGGGATC